GCGCGGCCCGGCGCGGTGCCCAGGGGGAGCGGAGGCGGCGTGAGGCGGCTGTGGGGCGCTCAGGCCCCGCGCGCCGCGTGGAGCCGGCAGCGAGCGCCCGGACACGGCATGGAGACCCAGGAGAAGCAAAGGGAGCGGCGGGGAACCACCTCCTCCTCCCCATGAAGTGCTTGGTGGTTCCTGTGGTGCTTTCCACCCCTCTAGGAGCCAGGGTGGGTCCCCCCCGACACACCCAGGGGAGAACTAATTTTGTGTTGTCTCTTTTTGTAATGGAAAAATCTGCTCCACCCTTTCTGCTGATAGGGGTGTAGCTGCCTCAAAGGAGGTGGAGACAAATGGGGAAATGCAGGGGTGGGAGAGACACCCTTATCAGGCGTGATAAATCTCCCTTTGATTGAGACACATCAAAGCAGAGAGCTGCAATATCTTCTAGTATTTCTTGCTGCGGGGAGACTTTGGGCTATCACCAAGGGGTTGCCTCCACCTGGAGGAGACCTTCATGTCACGTGGGATTGGTAAAACACTGGAGTCCTGGTGCTGCCTGATCCTGGGGTGAGCATCACCTTGTGAGCGCAACCTATGTGAAGTCTTTGTGATGACACCGTAGGCTCTGCTAATCAGTAACCAGCTAAGGATCTGAGATAAAATAGTGATTTACTGCATTTAGGCACATGGGAATCATTTTAAGTATTGGCCATAATGTTATCTCGCAGGTATCAACCAGTTTTGCCAGTGGCTTGCTTGTCATCGCTGCAGCACAGGCCTCTCAAGGGGTGTGGGAGGAGATTGCAGTTGGGGACCGCGTGCTTCCTGGCTGGCCTGCAGCGCTGTGGGGATATTATGGAAGTGCAGCTTCTGCTTTAGTCCCCCTCTGTGCCCTGCTGCACATCCAAGGACAAGTCACATCCCTGGTCTCTGTTAGCAATCCCAGCCGTTACCTAGTTAAACTGTAAACACTGGCGGGAAGGACCCTGCAGTTTTACAGCGCCCGGCTCAGGTGAAATCCAATCTCAGAGGAGACTTTGGACTCTCTTGCAATCTGAATAACCTAAAGGTCATTGCTGCTGCAGAGACAGGATGAAACTCTCATGCTAAGGTAGAGGAGAGCTTAGGTGGCCATCTGTTCCTGCATTGTGAATGCTTCATAACGTGCAAGTTGCCCGATCCCATGGATCTGCAGATCTCTGTGTGCAAGAGACTGCCCTGTACCCCGTCTAAATGACTGCAGTGACATGCATGGTGAGGGGTCTCATTGCACCTAGGTGCCCTTTGGGACAGCTGATTCTCTGCAACTTACTAGTTGGAGAAGGTGCAAAGGGATCTTGCCTGTTTTGCTGTGCTGTGTCAGTCTTGCCAAGCAGAGGGGCTGGTAGTGCAGGTCTCTCAGAGGTCCCTTCCTCACCTCTAGCGCAGAAATGACCTGGAAGGGGTTTGGAGAGGCATTTGGAAATGCTGGCTAAAGAGAAGAAGTTAATGCTAAGATAAAAATATAATTTTCTGAATGCTTCTGGCTTCCTGTAGTGGTGGTTAGGTGCAGGCTCACTGCGGTCAGCATGGTGTTAACATGGCAAAGCCACTGGGAGTGGAAGGGAGCCCCAAAAGGACACTTCGTGCCTACTGCTTGTCGTGTTATCCCACGCGAAGGAGAAGGGCAGCCCAGCAGGCAGCCATCGCTCCTGCAGTTTGCCCGTGGGCTTAGCTTAGTTCTCTGAGAAAGGTCCAAAGCTTGACCCCGATCTTGGAGCCTTCCAGCCCCCCTTCCCCATTTGCTCCAGTGTGCCCTCCAACTAAAGCTTCAGCTGGTGTCCACCCAAGATGACTCCTGACTTGTGCCAGCTGAAGGGCTAGCCTTTGCTCTCAAATTGCCTCTTCTGTAAGCGGATCTGTGGTGCCTGGCTTAATGAGTTACTGTGAGAAGCAGGTACACGGTCTTCTCTTTCTTCCTTGAATGGATGGAAAAGACCGGTGGATAAAAACCCAGCAACTTCATTAGTAGTTTTTGTTGCCATTAATTATGTCTCTGCTGGTATGACCCCGTGGTTCCCCCTCTGAGCAGGTGGCTTTGCTGTTCCCCCTTCTCCTTTTCGAAAACAATCACTGAGATATTGGCATTCCCATCTTGTAGTGCAAAATTATCCTTTTTGCATAAAATAAAAAATTATCCTTTCATGGATAATAAAAAAGCAGGTATCTAGACAAAATGGTATCTGTAGAAATCAGTAGATAAATTTGCAGCCTGCAAACTTGATGTATTCAACCTCCTTCTTGTGTTGCTGCCTATGGAAATGTGGCTCCCATTATACGGATGTGGCCGCCTTCAAGGTAGCAGGGGACGCTTGGCTGAGTTTTCTTTATAGGTGCTTTCAAATATTTATCTGCACAAGAATAAAGGGAGAGCTGTGTTTCCTAAGGATCTTAATCCCCTCTCTTCCTCGTGCCTCCTGAGCACTGGCAAGAGGGCTTGACCCTGCTGACAGAGGACCCCTCTCCTTCCCCTGCACCCCACGCAGGGCCATGCTCTGCCTTCCCACATTGGGTGGGCTACCTGGAAAGTATCTATGTTTGGGAAATGGGGCTGAATCTGGTTTTCTGGGCTGTAAGCTGCAACCACCGAGATGAGATTTGGGGGTGGAGGGGCATCCTGCTCTTTCTCCTGCCTCCCTTTATTCCTGATTCTCCTCTTAACTGTGAGAAACGTGGTAAAGCTGGAGTGTGCACGGTTTGCCATCAGCGCGGGAAGTGGGAGTTCGGCGCATCCCAGAGCTGAGTATCCGTTTCAGTCCTGC